TTATCATGTGTGGCAGGTGTGAATCATAATCAAATTACTAATAAATAAATCTCCAGCCAAAGTCATCAAAATAACAAATTGCATCAATTACACAAACACAAAGTAAGGTGACCTAACAAGAGAATTGGCTAGCTATACTTGATATGGGATAACCAATCTTACACAAACCATTCAATTGATTCACACAATGTCAAGCAGTTAGCAATGTATAGCACAAACCGAATGAATTTTAGAATTATAACTAAGATCAAAAGAAGCTCAAGAGAGTTAAACCAAATCCGCACACAGTTCAAAGTCAAAATTATGAAAGATAGGCGCAAGTATGCAACATCGTAAACAACTAAAAATAAACTAAGAAAGCAATACATTTTTTTTCGTTGTACGTAAACTCCCACCCCTAATAAGCGGTACAAATCGTACAACACTTACAAAGTAATTAAAACTAAGCTAAAACAACTAACATGCACAAAGTGATGATGACAATCATCCTACCCCAAGCTAAACATCACATTGTCCTCAATGTGAACAAAGAGGAAACTAAAGCATAAATAAGGGAAAGACACAACTCACAAAGGGGTGGGTAAGTTAAGGAAGCATCAAAATGTATTGACACCTCCACCACAATTGATGGTTGTAATTAGGAAGCCAACGTAGCCAAGGAACCTAGCTATATTTGTACCTAGCAAAAACATTCATCACTAGAACACACATTAGCTTTGCTAGTTAAATACCAAAAAAAAGAGATAAAAAAACGAAAAGAAACTCGGGTTGCCTCCTAATAAGCGCTAGTTTTTAAGGTCCCGCACGACCCTACTTAAATTGTCAATCGGAAGAATCCAATGCCTTGAGTAACTTATCATACGCTCCTGCAAACATATCATTGAGCACCACATATGGCTTGATTGCAAACACAGAAATCTTCACAAACAGGGGATTGAAAGAATAAAAAGAGAAATGAGAAGAAAAATAAGAGGAAGAAAAATCAAAATAAAAAGAAAAGGGGAAGAATTTACAACTTCTCTCTACTTATTATTTGGGCAATATAAACCTTTTAGAATGAACATCAAGATTCACTTTGCACTGTCATGCAATGGAGTAACTCTGAGAAAGTTAGAAGAACATAGCATAGAGGATGAATTCTCAAGATCAAGACTCTCTACATATGAGATATAAGAAGAAGGTAAGCTTAACTCAAATTCCATGATTTTATCATTAATCTCACCTTCTTTTAAAAGCTTGTCAACACAAGAGTGTTTAGCTTGAAGTTCTATAACTAATGGTTCCTCAACCACTAATTTATCAAATAATGGCTCATCATCCTCAAAAATATCACACATATCCACCTTGTTCTCATCCTCAACCTATTAATTCATAAACGCTCTCTTGAAAATTTTCATTCTTAATCCACCCTTCATCATCATCATGAATGTATAGTAAGGCACTAGATTTTACAATAGAATGCACTTCATACTTGGGAGAGGGATTCCAAACATGCATGAAAGAATTATTGTAAGAACAAGAAGAGTCATCATGATCATATGAGTTGCAATGAGAACAATAGCAAGGGGATAGAGTATTGGTCAAAAAAGTGAAGGAAGAGAAATTTTCTAGAGTTGGTTTAGCATACGATGTCATTTCCCACTCATATGTATCTCTAGCTAACCACTCAATAAAATCCCAGCCAAAAGATTCTCCACTACATATAGACTCAACAATAAACCTAGTTTCTTCATTTAGACCATCATAAATCACTAAGCACATATCTCATTCTTCAATTCCAAGATTAGGACCAACAAAGTCACCAAGCCTATAATAATATCTCCAAAACACCTCATTCTCAAATTGTGTTAAATAAAAAATAGCCATTAAACTAAATCCACAAAAGAATAAGAAAACCTGCAAACATAAGAATTAGTAGAGAGAAAAAAGAAAAGAAAATTATATATATATATATATATATATATATATATATATATATATAGAGCACAAAACGGATAACTTATGCATTTGCGTCCTAAAAAGTGACCAAAAGACCTAAAAAGCAACTATAAAAGTATCATAAACGTGCCTATAAATCCTATATACATGTGATTAATCAATTACTATGTTAAAATTAGGGTCACTATATTCCATATAACGTCAGTTGCATGTATATAAACCTCGGATTCACAATAATATTATTGTGGACCAGGTCCACGCAAGATTTTTTTATGCTTTATATTTTAGTGTTTTATGTTTGATGTTAAGTTGTTCGAGCTTCGGGATTCCAACTTTTGTGTTCTAGTTATGTTTATGGTTTGTATTTTGTATTTTGTACTCCCTCCGTCCCTTATCTACATGTCTGTATTCTATTACGGGGAAAGCAAAATTACATGCCTGTTTCAATTTAAAGAATATACTTTTTGACAATATTCTCTCTTTTTGATGAGTTGTTATCATTTTTCTATTATTTTTTTTTGTACTTTTGACATTATTTTTCAATACCTTCTCTCTCCAGTTTTTCAATAATTACCTGCTACTTTTTCTTTTTCTCGCTCTCTCTTTAACCCCACATGCATATATGTACTTCTCAATCATGGGTTTTAAGAAATCTCTAAGTTTCTTAATTACCGTGAAAAATAGGAAAAAAGCTTGTAGATAAGGGACGGAGGGAGTAATGGTTTATCCTCCAGCAATATGAAAGGACATCATGTTTTTTGTTAATTCTATTGGTCCTGTTAGCTTCTTCTTGTTGCAGTAAGTAGTAACCTCTAATTATAAGTCTTTTATAGACATAATCTTTGGTCTGAGGATTTACTCTTGCTCATTAATTTATATTGCCAATTACCACAATTTTAATTAGCTGTCCTTTTATATTTTGCATGCATAATATGGGAGTGAGGAAAATAAGGTTCATTACATAAATTAGATACAGTAGTACGGAGTATTTAATAAGTTAAGATAAGTTTAAATAAATTGAATGTTTTTTGATAAGGAATGAAAAATGAAGGGCTAGTAGACGCCGCATTAGGGCTACGTCTTCAATTCTTGAAAGAACAATTAACTAGTTCCCTCGCCTCTGAACTCATTTTTGATTTAGTAGACCAATCTGGGCATGGAAAACTTATGCTTCATATTGAGTATCCCTTAAAATCTAATTGAAAGAAAGGTATAAACGAGGTTTATAAGTTTTTCCTAAAACTCATTGATGACTTTCTATTGGTTATATATTAAAAAGGCCATAGCATGCAGCAATATAAATTCAATTTGGCTGCAAATTTGAATTTTTTTTTAACTGTCAAACAAAGCAAGTGAGTGGGGAAAATTCGACAAAATTGAGTGGGAGGTTGGTGCACACTCAAGTCTCATTCTAGTGTCTAATAATTACTTGTAAAGATAATACAAGTACAATTTTGAGGTTCTAATATGCTTATGATCAATTTACAATTACTAATTAGGAGTAAGAGAAACTATATTTACCAATAACCATGGGCTGCAATTTGTCTATAAGTCTTTTTGATGGGCTGTATTGAGTTTGGGTGGGTGAGTGGGTGGTTGGGTAATGTGTTTGACTTCAAGCTAACCCAATGCTCCTTTTCTCAAATTGGTATGCTACTTTCCGTTTACCCCACTTACTTCCTCGGTTATTTTTTAAAATCACCATCCGATTGTAAAATTTTGAAATGAGAATAATGTGACTATTCATAATAAAATTTTCACGAAACTTTTACAAATATATCAATTCATATTCATAGAGTGTATAAATTAACATGGGCTTTAACCATAAATTTAAATTTTTGGTTATGTTGGTTTTTAACATGGTATCAGAATTAGGGTTGTTCATTGGTCCAAGATCGGACCTGATCAGATCGATCCGGATCGGACTGAAAACTGAAAATTAGAATTTTAAGAACCGAACATCGGACCGATTAAGCTGGGATCGATCCCGTACCGGACCGAAAGAATTGGTCCAAAGCCCAAACCAGACCGCTTTGGACCGATTTAAGAATTTTGTAAAAAAATCCTAAATTTTTAATAATTTTATGGAAAAGTTAAAAAAAGTTAAGGAAAAGCTATATTTTAACGTCTTTTTTGTATGTTTAGTACAAAAAACCTCACAAAATTAAAGTTTTCTAAGCTTATTAAGGATAATCTTAACCATTATTTAAGGTTTCACGCATAATTTGAAGCAAGAAAATTGGTTCGGTCCAAGACCGTCTTTTATAGGGTTTTGGACCAGACCGAACCGAAGACCGAAAAAATAAATTTCTAGACCCGAAGACCTGACCGATTAATTCGGTCTGGTCCAGTTTGGGGTCGGTCCGGTCCATTTTGTAGGTCCGGACCAATTTATGAACACCCCTAATCAGGACCGCTAACGTGACACAAAGGTTATGGGGTTCTCATTCACCTCTTATTTCAAAGTTGAATATTCAGCACTAGGTATGGTGGGGCCCACGATGCATTATATCCACACTTCAAGCCCAATAGGCCCTCACGTGAGGGGTGTGATATAAAGTATAGAAACCAACTCTTACTTTAACCATATCAGAGTTATGCTAAATTGTTCTGTCTCGAAATTGAATCATTTTTATTTAATTGGGTTGATCGGGTCAGTTTTTGACACCTTTACCTACCTTTAATTGAAAGTACAAATGTGACATGGGTTAGTGTCAATTATTCAAAGCCGTTCAATTAAGGGTTCGTTCACTCCACATTAAAGCTAAAAAAACAATGCATCCAATATGAGTTTAGATTAGTATCAAGATTTTTGACCTATAAGTCCACTATTGAACTAGCAATGTACCTTTGACATAATGACATGCATCCTACAGTCAACGCATATGCTACTTTTGTACATTCCATCATTTCGTAGATCCTTCCTCAACTCCACCTGGTATTTGAAAAAAACACAGTACAATAGCATGCAGCTGTTTTTCAGGAAGTAATCTTTCCTATATAAATCTAACATTATATGTTTGAATTCTGTTATTCACTAAAACCCCTTAATAAACCTTTTCTTACCTTCTTTACCCATTTTATTTATAGGTACAAATACAATACTGAATCACAAGCTAAGTAACTTTTTCATCTTACATTATTTTTCTCACACAGAAAAAGATCAGATGATATCCTGGAAAGATTTATACAATGTACTATCAAATGTAGTACCTCTTTATGTAGTAATGATTTCAGCTTATGGATCAGTAAAATGGTGGAAAATATTTTCACCAAATGAAATCTCGGGAATCAACAGATTTGTAGCATTATTTGCAGTCCCACTTCTTTCTATCAAATTTATCTCAAACAACAATCCTTATGCAATGAACTTCCGCTTCATCGCAGCAGACACATTGCAAAAACTTATAGTCATAGTAATCTTGTTTTTATGGTGTAAGCTGAGTTCAAGAGGGTCTCTTGAATGGTGTATCACTCTCTTTTCACTTTCGTGCCTTCCCAACACGCTTGTCGTGGGCATTCCTTTGTTAGGAGGAATGTATGGCCAAGACCTTTCACAATCTTTAATGGTGCAACTTTCTGTTATACAGTTTAATGTATGGTTTCCTATTATGTTGTTCTTGTTTGAATATAGAAGAGCAACAGTTTTCATCGTTCCTGATGAGCAAGGGACTGAAATGAATACTAAAAGTAGCTCATCATCGCTTGAATGTTCTAATAAAATTTGTGATGTGAGTTTGGAGTTTGATGAGGAAAGAGATTTAGATGTTGGTGTTCTTCCTTCTAGGTCATCAACCAAGACTAATGATCATGATAATGAAGAGAATTCTTGGCCTACAGGTTTGCTTTCAACTTCTTTTTTATTTTTTTTTATAAAATTTGTCAGAAATGACATTTTTTTTTTCACTTCTTTGTGAGAAAGGACCTTTTAAGTGGTTTTGGTTGTGATTCGGCATGATCACCATGTGAAAGGCACAGATGTTACAAAAAGACACCTATCTCACAAAAAAAAGGAACATAAATGTCCTTTCTGACAAATTTTCCTTTTGAAAAAACAATTTTCCAGTCATATTTACTCAGACAATCTGATAGGAGACTTGACACTGACAGAGCCAAGCTCGACATCGAAGGTCGAAGTCCACGTGGAAACTATTGTTGAATGTAAACCCAAACTGACAAACACACTCCCTGTCCCTGCAGCTGGAAGTGTAATGACAACCAGGCAGATTTTGATCATGGTCTGTAAGAAACTTATGAGGAATCCTAACTTCTACTCTAGTGTTCTTGCCTTAACTTGGTCCTTGATCTCTTTTAGGTAATTGACATTGAACACATAATACTGTGTAGTAATCTCTCATTCTCTCTAACCTTTATTTTGGTGCATAATTATAAGATATTATACTTACATCTTATTAGTATATATTGTGAACTGTGTTATGTGTAGTGATCTCCTTAAAATCTTATTTGATTATTAATTCGGTTTTTACTAAACATTGAAGGTGGCATGTTGAAATTCCTGCAATGGTGGCCAATTCAATTAAAATTTTCTCTGATACAGGACTTGGGATGTCAATGTTTAGTCTTGGTAAGAATTTTAATTTGTTTTATCTAGTTTGAGTTATATTGTATTTTGTATATGCATTAATCTCATTGTCATTGAGTATAAGTCTTAGCTTATTAGAAATAGCTGCAATAGTTCGGTACGATAGAAAGGAGCTTATTATTCTAAGGAATGAAAGTATATGTATGCATGGTTATAGTAGAGAACTAGAGAGCTTTGCAAGCTAAGTACAGTATTACTCATGTTTTATAGTGAAAAAAGGTATGTTATAAGACAGAATGTGTCATTCTCACGCTAAAGCTACTTTCCTTCGATTTTTTAGCGGTTAAATCGACGGATGAGATCTTGGCCTAGTGATAGAGACTGAGGGCTTGTGTAGGACAGAAAGTGTCATACTCCATAGTACGCAAGTTTGAATCCTCTTCCCCTCATTTGTTATTTGCAATGTCCTTGTGGCTCATTCGCACTAAAAAATAAAAATAAAAAATAAAAAAAAATAAAAAAAAAATTAAATAAATAAATTAATAGTTAACGGCGGTTTATTTATCTAATGTAATTAACATGTCTTATTGGGTTATTAACTTATTGCTACTTGATTGATGTCAAAATTGATAGGCTTATTCATGGCTTCACAACCTAAAATAATTTCTGGTGGGAGTGCATTAGCTGCCTTAGCTGCAGCCATGAGGTTCATTGTGGGACCCACTATCACGGCGGCTACTTCTTCTGCTATTGGATTAAGAGGGACCCTTCTACAAATTATCATTATGCAGGTATAAAATAAATTAGTAATAATAAAAACAATATTGTCATCATATTAACAATAAAAAAACATTAAAAAAAAAATTAAATAAACTCCACAAATATAATTATCACAATATTAACTAATGTTTTGTAAATCTTATAAATTTTTTCTTTTAGGCAGCTCTACCACAGGCAATTGTCTCATTTGTCTTTGCTCAAGAATACAATGTTCATCCTGGTGTTCTTAGCACAGCGTATGTTCCTACTAAACTCAAAGTCTTGCTCAAACTAATACATTTGTTAACTTATGTAATGTATGTACATACTAATTACTCATTATTAAACATGCTTTTAATTTTATTTGGATGCAGGGTTAGCTTTGGAATGTTAATATCCTTACCGATTACACTGGTTTATTACATCTTATTGGGGATTTGTATCAAGTGAAGGGACTATTTGCAGCGCAAGAATTAAAAACGAAGCTATTAGACCATTAGAACACTTAGATTATGTACAACGATTGAACTGAGTACACGTTAACCTTTTAACCATCTCTAATAATATGGCATAGCATATTTCAATGTAACAATATTTCAGGACATGTAAATATTAGGTACTCCCTTCAATTCGCTCCCATCAGATCGAAAATCCAACAACAGCTTGGTTTCATGTGGAGATGGTTATGCTGATTGGAAGAGAGGTATGATTCTCGCGGTGTAGATGGAACTCTTCCTAAGCCAGATCCTTTAGATCTTGTGTTTAAGGCATGGGAGAGGTGTAGTTATAATAAGATCATCAGCAATATTTTTAGATCATTAGACAATACCATTGCCAAAAGTGTTCTCTATATTCAACTACTCGAGACAATATACTGAGCCTTCTATAACGAAATTTAAAACAAGCAATGGAGAAAACATTGTATCTAATTCAGTTTTGAAGCAAAATTTCCAATCAGAAATGGGATAGCAGTCACCTAAGTTCTTTACTAGCTGCTGATTCTATCAATTAAATGTCAAGCCAAAAATGCACTTATGTTCAATGGCCTTAAAAGTTGGATTATGTCCTCTGGCCTCGGGTGTCCTAGAGCTTCAACACAAGACAACACCAATGCTTAAATGCAGATGCGTGCTCAATATAAACCAGGATCCGAACTAAAGGTCTTACATGACAAATCGGAAACATATTGATATGTCACCAGCTTGGCACCACCTTTGACTTAGTAAGAAAAGAAAAGGCAGAACAATAAAATCTGTTTTTGAAGGTGCAACAACAAAATCTGTTTATTTATTAACATGTTCGAAAAACACTACAACCCAATGTTTGCTTACATGACTTAACCTTGAAAGATGGGGGGAAAATTATATATTTGTGAAATGTTTCAGTGATATTTGCTATATAGTGTTAATTAATTTCATATTTTCATCACTATCTAACAGCTTCTCTGCAAAGCATCATAACGTTAACCAAATCCTGCATCACGAATACCCTGCAACAATTACCATGGTTTTTTATTCACTGATTATCGTTCAAGATTATAGTTTCCAAAAATGAAAAAGAATAGAAGTAATCTAAAGGCATATATCCTATAAATAGGGCAGTTTCTACTTCAGAGTCCTTGATAGGTTCATTGTCTGATACCTTAATGTTGGATCACAGGATGAGCCTGTACTGTGAGAGTTTATTACAGATGTATTGTAGATACTAAAAGTTCGAGTTAATTTTCAATTAGAATTTTAAAACCTGCTTGTAAATTATATTTTCATGTCTATGTAAAAGATCTTGTTTTGCATGTTATCTGGTATGATAGAGGAGTACGCCGAAGAAAAAAAAAAGAAATGAAATATGTTAACCAATGAATTGACACATGGAACCTAACATATGGCATGATCAAGCTTGGAAATTACTGGTAATGGAAATCTCCAACAAGACATTTATTCAACAATAGGTTTGCTCAGACATGAGTCACATGACCCCAAACATAGTCTACATCAAACATCCAAAGACGACAAATTTTTAAATCCGACTAATATAATTACGAGTAGCAGCAGTTGCAAGTTTGTAACAGGTAGCTGCTATATATAGTGCAGACTAAGCAATTGAAGAAAGGAGAGAGAAGAGAAAGAAGGCTGCCAAGGGCTTCCAAACCGAATCTCTACCAAGGGCGATTAACAACATAGTCAAAAACACTGGGATCCAAAGAAGAAGCTGTCATCAAAGCCACGACGACTGAAATCAGATGCACAAGTCTTGCAATTTAAAGGAACTGAGACGCTCTTTCAAATCTCTGGAAAACAAAACCAGTACAGCTTAGGAAACTTGTTCCTGAGATCAAAAATAGATCGAGACATGGAGGAAAAAGAATGACTTGCAACAACAAAGAGAGAACCACAAACCTGCATCGAGGCACATGACATTCAGAATCATTACAAAATTGAGCATGAAGTCGTAACAGATACCACATCTTCCTGCAATGAACACAACCCCCTTCTGCACGAGTTCTGCACTGCATCCCATGGCGTATCATACCCTTAGTCTTCAAGCAATTGGGATACTCGCACTGACGATCTAGTGAATGACATTTTGTTGCATGCACCAGCAGATCAAGCAACTCATTAAGCTGCAACTTAGAAAAAATATCATATTAGTACAACGCTGAACATGGTGACTAGAAACTATACTATGATACGGAATAAGAGAAAATCATCTAGGAAGTCAAAAACTTAAGTAAAATCCAAAGTCCAAAGATTGATGAATAAAGGGTACTATGTAGCAGGCTCACCAAAAGAACAGAGAAGTATATAAAACAATACTTAAATGAGCAACTTTCTTCTTCGAAAGTTTAATGATTGATTAGACTTTATAGAGGATATTGTGTAGTTGCTACACCAAAAGAACAGCAATGTCTCAAAAACTTTAACACGTTATTTTCCTTCCCTTCTCTTTTGTTATGACTAGCATACTAGTTTTAAACATAATTACCGGAGTAACTTTCATCTTTCGATACTAGTTCCTCTTTAACAGTACTTCTATTCACTTATTTTGCAGGGTCTATGACACCGAGCCTTTCTTTTTATTTATTTTTTCTCAAATTTAGGGGCATACAGCATACATCTTAAATAAATAACAACTGCTAATCTAGCTTCAACAGAATTCTCTTCGTAAAGTAGTTGTCGAGGTAGAAGAAAGAAACGAGTGGATTTTCCACAAGGACAGAAGAAGTAGGGAGTGGATGTTGGAAGTATCCCTTGCCTCCACAAGTGTGACTCTATACATAAACATCGGCGCTTCAAAGACATCCTAATATGTGTAAGATAAAACCAATCCTACATTAAGAAGATTTGACTTGTAATGCCTAAAATACCTTAGTGACATGAAAGTTGTAGGGAGGGCTATAGCTTGGGAAGAAAATCAAATTGAAAGATATGTAAGAAAAATTATATTCATCTAAAATTTAACAAGTGTGCGTGAAATGTTGATACCTGTAGAACACGTTGTCTAGCTTCCTGATTCTGAGCATCAGAATGAGCCATGGAAGGCTGATTGGTCAACTTATGAGGATGATTGATACTTTCATCCTTTTGGAAACAAGGATTACATACATCAAAATCTTGACATGTTACACAACGCCAAACTTGATTAATAGCAATATCCAAATGACATATGTTGCATGTTGTCACAGCTGCTGGGGCAGAATCTTCACTCTCAACAATCACATCTTTGTCGTTGGTGTCGTTTGGCACATAATTGACCTCAACCTATACCATTAAGAAATACGAACACTTATCAAGAGAACATGAGCAAAATTCGTAACTTTATTGTAATTAGTCCTTCTGAAAGACCTCAACCACACGGCAGAAGCTCAATAACTTACTGGATAAAGTGCATGTTTGTCTTTCTGGTTAGTAGGATGTCTTTCTCCCTTGTCTTGTTTTTGTTCGACTTCATAGCACCTGAAATAAACCAGTTGAAACTTTACCATACTGATACTAATCAAGTCAAATATAGTCTAACTCGAAGAGCAATCATTAATACTTGAATAGAGATTAAGATAGCACAGCCAAATGAAACACTTATACATGTCATAGGTTCAATCCTTGCATACAAAAGTCATTATATGAGGAACTAGTGCGTTTGAAGGACAACTTTTGATGGTTGAATTCGTTCAAAATATTTGACATATAATTAGAGTCTATAAAACTATGAGAACTAATTTTTAGTACAAATTTTGCAATAGGAAGCTCCACTTCAAGACATCTACAATTTCAATATTAGCAACAATGTCCAACCAAAATAACAGAAAATGTTGTGCAAAGTACCATGATCTAAAAATTGCACAAACAGGATCTTACTTGCCACAGAGCTGAAAATTCGCGCACTGCTTGCAAACCCAGCCATGTCCAGAAAGCATAAGCACACCACAGTGAGTACATAAAAGAATATCTTTCGTCATTGGGTAAATCGTTTTGCCACGCTGCAAAGCTAGTTTTATGCATAACAATTAAATCAAGAGAACCACAATATCAGGAGTAGATATATAGCAACATTATAATATAGGCTAATTGATTGCTATCAAAATCATTCACTACAAACTCTAATACACCATATTTTATTTTATGGCATGTAAATTTGATCATTTGAAATACTTGACTTTATTAAACAAAAAACCAAAAAACCGAAAACTACAACAATATCAACTGGACCTTACAAACAAAAAGAAAAAAAAAACAATTAATCACATTAGGGTAACCCATTTGATCATTGTCGTCACCTCCAAAACTCAATTAAATGCCTTAAATATGAAGTGATCACTCCATCAACTAATAGTGTGGATGGCAACATGATACCCTTTACTACATTTCACCTCGAGTACTCATGTCGGATCCTCTATACTTGGATCTTGGACCAAAATTGAACTATGGAAATCTCAAATATTTCAAAAAAAATCGCTAAATTTAACAATTGCAGTAACCAGTAATATAACAATTGAAAACTTAGGCGGAAAATTAAAAATGAAGATTGCTATAATTATCAAAAGAAATAACTTTTCCTACTATGTATGTTTGGTTTAATGCTAATTGCTAAATTGAATAAATTCTTTGAAATAGTTCTTTAAATATTAGAGAAATGAAAGCAATAACAAACATGGGAAATCATCAATTTGCACCAAACAATAAACAAAGAGAAGTTAGAAAGTAAGAGCTGATAAAAGGAAAATTCTTACAGATAAATTGGAGAGAGAGAAAAACAGAGCAAGAAGAAAGAAGATGGTGCAGAACAGAACAAGAAGAAGGCAGAAAAGGCGCGAATTTGATTGTTAATAGCTGAAATTTTTGTTTGTTTCTTGTGTTTGAATTTGTGTTTAGTAGGCTAATTAAAGAAGTTGTAGTAACATAATTATACCAAGCTGAAGTTCTTTTGGGCATTTTAATCAGAATTATGAGCAAGTTTTAATCTCTAACCAACTAATAATAATAATTTAAGTGTTAATTGAAAATGGGAGTTCAAAGGAAAATTTAATTTTTAAATGACAAGGTGGTAAGATGTTGGACTTCATCACTCATTCCAAAAAATAACGAGCTTTTCTCAGGCCCGTATGGTGTATGGACTCTTAATTCTTGTACAAATTTGGACTAAGTTTTTCTTTACACCGATATATATAGATTATACTAGTATTTACAAAATCAATACTCTAGCTAACATAGAATATATGATTTTGATAATTTTTACTACTAAAAAAAGTAGATTTTGTGGAAAAATTAATAAATTGTAGAAGCTAGGATTAGATCAAAACGTAGGCTCTGATACCATGCTAAATTTTGTGAAACTCCTCAAATTCAAGTCTTAAATGTGTTAGGAAACCTAAAAAGATAATTATACAAAATATATCACATATATCCTAAATACGACATAATATCTTTACATATATTCTATCACTTATAGTATTTTCTAACATTAATTTAACTTAAGATCATTCTACAGAAAAGTCATTTAAATTAGCATAAACTATACATTTTTTTTACAAAGACAATACTTTAGCTAACATAGACGACATATATTGTGTAAGGGTAAGCATTATCCAAAAAATAACCTAGCTTCATTCTCAACTTTGGCAAAAACTAAAGCTAGATTGTAAAGGATGTTTTGTGCACCCCTGCACCCTTTCTTTTATTTTTCATTGCATTTTATTCTTTTTTTTTGTCTGACTGTATGTGTTTTATGCTGACATCAAGCCAATGATTTGATTTCTAAGAATTTGGTAGCACTAGTGTGCCATCATATAAATATGTAAATACTACCTAAAAACATTTCATGATAAAAAATATATTTTGGCTGCGCCGCAAATATCTCTCAAAATATTCAAACTATATTTCAAGTTGTTTCATTGTTTTTCGAGCTATTATATTGTTCTTTATGGTATCAGAGTTATAGGGCTAAGAAATTTATATGAGAAACGCATAAAACATACAAATCAAACTCAAAAGAACAAATTTTTGGTTACAGATCGAATATTGATATATGAATTTGCCTAAAGATGGAGTTCTATCTATTGATGATACCCAAAATCCTCTATACCTTCACCCTTAAGACGGTCCACTATTTGTAAACTTTGTTGAGAAGCCGACTACTAGCACAACAGACTATCGAACATGGAAAAGATCTATGGAGATAACTTTGGGGTTGAAGTGTAAATTTGGTTTTGTTCACTATACTGATCTAGAGAGATGAGGAGAATCTGGAAAACCAGGATCAGTCTTAGTAATGTTTGTGAAGAGTGCTAAGGAAATTTGAAAACTTGAACACATTGGCTAATAGAATAAGGAATACAATTAAGTTGAATTAAGGATCTGTATGAGCCAAAGTAGAGGGATATTATTATAAGTAAGTATTATGTACACTATTATCTAGGATAAAATTGACAATTTAAACCACCTTCCACCTATCACTGCCATAACACCATATGTATAGATTAGTGCCTTTGTTGAAACTATGAACTAACAGAGCAAAGATTGTTCCAGTTTCTGAATGGCATGAATTAATCCTATATATGGAACCATGATAAGTCAACTGCTTATAAGAACTAGACTGCCCCTCAATTGAGGTTACTTGTGGTGTTTTCCATAAATAAGAAGCTTAAAGGAAAGCGTTGAACCATACTAAGATAAAATGGATGTGGAATCATTAGCAACATATGGCAAAGTTGGGATTATTCATTTTAAATTTTCCTTGTTATTAGAATGAGATTTTCAAACTATGGCAAGTCCTTGTGCTTTCAACTTAAAACATTTTCAGCCTCTTCCCCTTTGATATTTGCAGTTAATCCCATTTATACATAATTGTTTTAAGCTATAGCGGTAATAAATTTTTTTTTGTAATACTTTTTTTTTTCAGTTCTGTTCTTTTTCAGCTAGCTAGCTTTTGGGTATTTCATACAAGTAGTTTTTTATATGTATTGTTGCATTTGGATGTTGGGCGGCCATTTAATGTTTGTTTTTGGTCTATTTTATGTAATTTGATTGTTCACCTTTTTTTTTTCTTTTGAGTGGTACATTGTTAGCCTTGTGGTACCAATGATTAGTTTGTTGAGTATTGACACCTGAGTTTTATATGTTAAGGACTAAAAACTTATAAACTTTAGGTATTTGTAATGACTAAAATGCTTTTTTAGGGACTCACCTTTTATACTTTTCATTATGTATTTGGGAAATCACCTTTCAATTTTCATCATTATAGTCACCGGAACAAAAATCCGGCCACTTAAGTATAAAACTCCCTAAATGTGTTGTAATTACAAATGTCACCACAAGAACTAGCTTCCAACATCCACCATAATGAACAACAATGCAATTAAGGTTTTGGTTTTATATCAAGAACTACTTATTATTTACAAAAGATAAATAAATTATATTGTTATAAATCAAAACTTATAAATAATCAACATTATTGAAATTTGGAAAAAATTTAGATGAAATAATTAAGCTCCATTCAGAATTAAATTATTTCTTCAAGTATTATACAAAAAATAAAAATAAATAAAAAATCTTATTTGAAAAAAATGTCTACTCCAACAATTAATCAATTGGAATTGGAATAATCATGAATTACTAGCCCAACAATTTTTAGTGTACAAATTGCGTGATTAATTCCTAAGCTTAAAAATTCAACCTCTCCTTACTTCGTATGTTTTTTTTTAATGTTCTTTGTCTAATAATACCATGTTCTAGAAAACTACAAAACCCTAGCCCACAAAAATTAAGGGGCGGGTAAGCGTATTAAGTATTTTTCAATCATTTATCACACATGATCGCTTATATATTAGACAATTTTGCAAAAAAAAAAATAATAAAAAAAAATAAATCAAAAAATCTTAACAAAACCCTAAATCCTCATCAATTACATACATAACAAGAGATAAGAAAAATACCCATTTAATTCCAAAAATTAATTTCACTTAAATGCAATACCTGATTATTGTAAAGATCAATAGATGCTCTTTGAAGAGTTTGTAAAAAGCTTTTCGTCTACCAATGGTGGCGTCGTCGTTTGAGAAAGCACTGAATGCTTGACTTATGTTTAATTTGGATTATTGTAATTAATTGTGCTTTAATTTATATTATTTGGAAGAGTATGTACAGTATGTAGTTTTATTAGTAAAAAGATTTTTTGTCAGAAACTACCTAATAAATTTCATATTTTGTGAGAAACTACCTAATAATAAAATGTTATAAGACACTACCTAATAAAAGGTAAAATGTTGTAAAATACTACCTCTAGCCGAATTTCCATCATTGACCTCATTTCTAGCGTTGAATCATTCCACACATTCCTAAAACCACCACACACTTTCATCCCCAAAACCAACATAACCCGCTTGAAATTGCCTCCACCACGCCGAAACCACCATCCAACCCCAAAATCACCACCTCTTACCCCAACAACTGCCATCTCGTAGCCCGAAACTAATTCCACCAACTCGAAATATCCCCCAACCACCCCGAAAATAGCCTTACCACCTTGAAAACTAACCCGGCCTCACGATGGTTTCAGCGGTGTTTTGAGGTGAGTCAACGCCAAAAAATTAGGTGATCAACGACTGAAATCTAGCCACATTTAGTATTTTACAATATTTTATGTTTAAAGAAGTTTCTTCTGACATTTTTTTTATTAGGTAGTTTCTCACAAAATCTGGGTTTTATTAGGTAGTTTTTGAGGAAAAAAATCCTTTTTTTAACTAACTAATGTTACTGAAGAAAATTGTATAAAAATTAAAAATAAAATAATTATTTCCTTCACCGGTTAATACCTACCTATCGGCAATCTCTAAGGATGAAAACGATGAAAAGTATCCCTAAAAATACATTTTACTTAATTTGCAATTGGGTGGTTAGGATGATCTTTCTATATATACTTGATAATTGGGTCACTTTCAATAGAGGCCGAAATCAAAGTTAATATCATTGCTACATTTAGTAGCTTTTGCACATCAATATCGATAACTATTTACTAAAAGACACATAAGAAATGACATATGTCATTTTCTAGTGTATCCTTAGTATTTTTTTTTTAAAAGAAAAAACTATAAAAAAAAATTGATAGAGATTATAAGCAAAATATACTCATCCAAATTTTGAGGAAAAAAATCAATATATTTCACCAATTCTTAGATGTCTAACCATATCAAAAGATTAAAAAAAAGTAAAAGAATAAAAAAAAAAAAAAAAAACTTGATAAAGATCAAAATATACGCAAAATATACTCTATCAAAATTTAAGAAAAAAAATCATAAAATTATATCACAAATTCTTATATGTGACCAGTCATCATAGAAGTTACTACTCGGTTAGTATTACATGGGTTACTTGA